GTAAGTTATCCCAGAATATATGAAAAGCCCAAACCCGATTTCCAAAAAAGGAAAGAAAATTAGTAAAAAAAAAAGAAAAAATGTTTAAAATGCAACACACAAGATTCAAACTCGTAACCTCATACTTGCAAGCTTCATTCTTTACCAATTGTGTTATGTTACTTATTTGTAAATAAACTCAATTGAAAGTATATGAAAGGTGTGCAAATATTTGTTATTTTTAAAAATACAAATAATTTGAAATAAATTATTATATTTTTAACTGGACTTTAGAACAAATATTTATAGAACCCCAAAATACTAATGTAAATCAAAATAATTTTATAAAAATTCAAGTTTGAAATTAATTTCGACCGTAGTGATAAAGGACAGACAAATTTAGGGTATGACATCATCCAGTACAATGGATATGAGGGGTGTTAATACATTCGCCTTGTATAACCGACTCTTGAACCCTCTCTTTGGTCTTGCAAACCTTTTCTTTTCTTTCGTGGGTTTTATTCGATATTTTCCCTTTTCTTTTTGGAATAAGTAAAGATCGGTGGCGACTTCGTTGTTCAATATTTTTCAAGGCGCTACAAGTAGTATGACTTAGGAGTTGGAGTGTCGGATGAAGGAATCCTATCTGGAGCTTTTTCCTTCAGGTAATATTCGAGGATTCGAAAATCCTCTAAATGGGGGAGAGTTGTAACACCCCGACTTTAGATTACTATTTCATTTAAATTATTAGATTAATTATATTAGATGTTGTATGATTATTAGATGTTTTTCAGTGTTTTGGGGAGTTTAGGGGCATTTTGATAATTTACTAATTACTGATATATTTGAGTTTGAGAGCGCGGGAATTAAAATTAGAATTATTTGAATTATTGGTGATAATTAGTTAATTTTAAGATATTTAGTGATAATAGAAATAAGGGCTAAATATGTTTGTGATCCTCCAAAATATCTCATATTTCAATTTTAGTCCCTTTAAAAATTTCCTTCAAAGAATGATCCTCCTAAAATTTTTCATCCGCACTTTTGGTCTCTCTTGCAACTTAGTGATAGTTTTACAACTTAACGACAAAGTTAGCGATGATTTTCTACTTAGCAATTGAATTAGCGATAATTTTAACGACGATTTTAGCATGAAGGACCAAAAGTGTGGATGCAATTTTTTAGAAAGACCATTCTTTGAAGGAAATATTTTGAGGGGCTAAAAGTGAAATATGAGATATTTAGGAGGACCACAAACATATTTATAATTAAAATTTTAGAAATTAATTATAGTTTTAATTAAATATTTATTTAATAAAATTATTTATTTAATTGGAATGTTTAAAAATAATTATTTAATTGGATTTATTTTTATTATAATAAATAGAAAAGTATATTTTACCATTAGAAATTGGGACTATATATTCTAACGTGAGGGTTAGAATTAGGGTAACACGAAAAGACAAAAAAATTTGGAAGCAGCTGTGAGAATTTGGACTTTGGGAAGCGGTCGCATATGAGAAAATTTCACCGTGTTATACGAAACCTTTTGGGAAAGCTCAATTATCATGTAAAGGGGGGATTACTTATTGTAAGGTGAACTTTTAGGCAGTAGGATGGTGAGGGTCTCTAACCCTCCCATCATCATCATGTGTGTTGTTTTTCTTATCTCTGTAAATGTACCGATTAATATGTTATTTATTTGTACCGATGAATCTATGTTTAGATCAAATGGTGTTTGACCTAACCCCTTTGGTCACATGTTTTATGGTAATATCTCACAAGTGTTAAAATTGATATAATGTGTATGTGATTGGTAATAGTTGTTGGTCGATCATATTACGATCTGTGACTAAATGGGAAAAGTCCTATTTGGTAATTGTGGGGCACTAAATGTAAATATCGATGCGTTAATTTGAGCGACAAAAAGGGGTATAGGAAAATCCCTTTTGGGTCACAGTGGAAATTACCTGGAACTATGAGTTATTTTGTTGGTGATGAAATTGGTATACTGGTGTTTGATCGCTGTAAGATAAAAAAATTTCTTAAAATGTTAGGAACTGAGATTTTTCCAAAAAAAACTAAGAACTGCACTTTTGTTGAAAATATAAACTTATGTATCAGAAAAAGAGGGGGGGGGGCGATTATGAAAATCACAAAAACGAGAAAAATTGTAAAATATTAAAAAAGTCAAAGATCAGAAAACTGAGAAACGATCGCGCGACAGGTGCCCTAACGGCAAGGCGGTGTTGGCGAAGTCGATTGCCAAAAATCGGGAGCCGTGCCATGGGTGACGACTATGGGAAAATGATCGGGCGCGCGGTGGGTTCCGTGGCTACAGGCCGCGCCACGATGACAGCAGCTGGGGTGAATAGTGTCACGGTGACAGCGACCGAATTACGGAAGGGGCACGTGTAGCTGAGAGGGCTGCTTCGGCGCTATGTGCTCCGCGCTAGATTTTTTTGGATAGAAATTTGTACGACGGAAGAGGCTGGTTAAACAAAGGCAGAAGGTGGCGGCGGATTTTGAGTCATCGGCGGGTTCAGAGGATTTTCAGTCGTTTTAGCAGTTTTTGTATTCAGGACCCTTTTTGATGATTTATGAATATTTTTTGATACCAATGAAACTTTTTATAATTTTGGATAGAAAAATTAAGTTAATCTTCCAAAACCTTGGCTTAATAGAGTTATCACTCGTAAAGACTAACTGTAGAGTTTTCTTTTGCATCTTTTAGAGTGATTTAAGGGTCTTAAATTTTATTAAATCATTTTGAGATATAACGATGAATTTTAGATTGTGGAATGTTAGGGTAATGACATAATATTACTCAATTATACATGGAGTTTTTTTGTTGTGATTAGTAATCCCGAAGGTTACAATGATGGCCTAGATTGGCGAAAATGAGTTCGAATGTGGAACTCTTTGAGTGATGATTTTTGGTGATAATGTGATGGTGGTTTTTGATAGTTGCTTTTGAAGTTTGAGATGAATGATATGAATTGTTAAGTTATTTTCATAACACATCATTCATACATACATATAGTTGGAGATAGGTAGGATTTCGATCCAGTGACAACCTCAAATTCATTGGTGGAATCGTTGGTTCAGTGAGGAACCAGAGGCATGTATTAGATTCATTGGTGGAATCGTTGGTTTAGATGAGGGATCTGAGACCAAGGATTAATCAGTAACAAACCTCTGATATCAAAAAACCGGCACCCCATGCATTTATGTGATGAAGTTTTGGAGGATTGGCATTGCATTATTGTTTTATTGATGTCTATAATTGAATGTAATGATTATATATTGAACTTGTTATTCCGTTTTTATCATCATACTGTTGATTTTTCACCACTAACAATTGTAAGGTGTATTCTCACCCCTTTGTTGACATTGTGGCTTGTGCTCCTTTTCGGAGTACAAATTAACAGGTAACCGAGTAGCTACTTAGAGCTGGAGGATGGCGAGAAACCGCTCTTATTTTTTTTCTATTATGAGTTTAGATTATGTTGCTCTGATTCTGTAACACCGGGTGGAGTGAACGATACTTCTATTTCGCTTACATATACATTTATTGATGTTATTTTAGAGAGTCAGATATTATACTCTCGCTATTGATGTTTTTTGTTGTTTTGTGGAGACTTTATCTTCCTGCCTTTCAGTTTATTGAAGTAATTGATTTAAGACTTATATGAGTTTATACTACATGTTTATTGATAAATTCCACTGCGATGATACTCTAAGTGAAAGTGAACATGTGATGATAGGTGTTAATTATTTTAACTTTAAAATCACTTGTGTTACAGATGAGCATGTATTTGTTTGAGCTAGTGTGACATCCTATGTGTTCAAATATTTATTAATCAATTTAGTCGTTAAATTGTGTGGGGGAATTAGGGTGTTACAAGATACATCTCCGTAAAACTCACTAAACGTAAAATACAAAGTTTTGAAATAAGAGTTACTACAGAGATGCATCTACGAATATATTTTTGGGCAAAATGAGGTAGCTCACTCACGACAGTGTTGAGAGTGTGGAATATGAGCGGGTTCGAAGATGCATCTTTAAAATCTTAATGTATTTATGAATTTTACCGTGATGAACTAACACCTTATGAGATGGATAAAGTAATGCCCACCTCTTATTCATAAAGAGTGACAATTTATCCTTTGTCATACCTTATACGAAATGAATGCTTGTGCTTATTGACTTGTTAAATTTAAAGTCTTGCTTGTTTAGGAAGAGTGTTTTTTAATTGATCCTCCCATATATTTAATATCTACTCCATCCATCCGTATCAATTTATAAGAGAAAAAAAACCATCATCAACTTTATTTTATTTAACTATTTTATACTAAAAAAATCTATCTTTTATAAGATAAAATTAAATGTTAATGTATTTTTAATTTGACCTCTCTTTCATTTTTTTATAAACAACAATCAACCAAAACAATTTTTTTAATAAATGTGAAATATTAGATTTTATTTTATTTATAAATTAAGTTAATTTTGAAATATTTCCTTTTTAGCCCTAATCCTAATCCTCATTTGCATTCTAATTCCCCAAACCACAACGATGGGTTAACCTAAATCAGTTTGAATCCAACGAAATTGTGCTTTGTCTTAATACTATACTATCTGGTCAAATTCATCGTATATTCTCAATTTTCCTCTTAATCGTCTCAATTTTCAGGTTTGCTTTCAGTTCCTTTCTTTGTTTGTTTTGTTTTGTTTTTGGTTCTACTTTTATGTTAGTGTTTATGGTTTATATGAACTTCATTTTGCAGTTTTTGTTATTATTACTGTGATTTTTTTGTGCGGGTTTGATTTTCTCGGTGATTGCTAATCTGGGATTTTCTCTACTATGTACATTGGAGTCAACATGATAACATGTAACATGTATCCTTTTTATGGGATTGATTTATGGTGGCTTAATTTTGTTTGCAGCTAAGGAAGGATAAATTCCAGATCTAGAAGAGAACAAATTTGGTTAAGTGGTGGAAGATAACTGAATTAAAGCATGGGATTCCAGATCTTCAACTTTTTAAAGCCCTTTATGAAAGTGCTGGTGGTAATATTGTTGCTGATATTTCTGACAAATATTAGCCCCTCTGTAGCGCACTCTTTTCCTTCATCCGAGACTACGATGCACACTAATAATTGGGCTGTTTTAGTCTGCACCTCTCGTTTTTGGTAAATTAAGTTTCTTTTTTAATTCATAAGAATAAATCACAACAATGTCTTGTTTTTTTTTTGTACATCTCTTAATGGTTCTAAACTATTACTTTGAATGATAAAACCCTTTTAAAGCTACCTAATATTTTGTTTCTGCCTTATTCTTTGTTGAAGTTGCCTGGGAACGAACAATGTGAATCTATCAAGATAAGGATAAGTAGTGAAAATGTTGAAAATGTGTTTTTCTTTTGTTGTTTTCTAAGAACTTTGGCAACTCAGGATGGAATATTGAGGGAGGGTATTTTAATTATTGAAGGTTTTGGTTTATGTCTCATAAATCAAAACCTTTACAACATGGTTAGTTTACTAAATGTGTTGTTTCCACATTTCAGGTTTAATTATCGACATATGGCCAATACTTTATCATTGTATAGGTAATTATACAAGTTTAGTCTTATTTTGAATTGTTGGAATTATGCTTGATAATGATATATTGATCATTAGATTATTATATTATATTATAGTATATTTCACATTCAGGACAGTTAAGCGGTTAGGAATACCTGATGAGAGGATTATACTCATGCTAGCAGATGACATGGCATGCAATACAAGAAACAAGTACCCTGCCCAAGTTTTTAATAATGAAAACCATAGACTTAACCTGTACGGGGATAATGTCGAGGTGAGTTTCTAGGTATGCATTTTTGTCTAAATATTTTATTAAATATTGAAAAGATTTCTATTGTTTGTTTCAGCTATTTCTTGTTACAAATCTAACAGTTTTTGTTTTACAATTCACAAACACTACGGCTTTGTTAGTCTGACTAATATTCTCTCCTTAATAGAGAAGTTTGACCAAATAATATTTTAAAACCGATCTAAAATATTAGGGAAATGCTCTTTAATTGTTTTAGTGCTCTTGATATGTATTATCTTTTAGAGGATGGATTTTGACTTCAATTTCTCAGGTAGATTATCGTGGCTATGAAGTAAATGTGGAAAACTTTATGCGGGTACTAACAGGTCGTCATGAGATTGCTGTTCCGAGGTCCAAACGACTACTTAGTGATGAAGGAAGTCATATTCTTTTATACATGACAGGGCATGGAGGTGATGAGTTTTTGAAGTTTCAGGACTCAGAAGAGCTTCAAAGTCATGATTTAGCTGATGTTGTGAAGCAAATGAAAGAGAAACACAGGTACACGTTTCTTATTCAATTGAGTTGTGAAAGGAAAATGAGAAAGCAATGAAAGATTTGCAGAGTGCTAAAGTTGTTGAAACAAATTAACATGTATTAAAAACGTATGCTGTAAACAAATTAAACTAAGTTGCAGGCAATAGGTTAAAGAACTAATATTTCCCTCTCATAATGTAAATTGTTAGGTTTAAGGAGCTACTGGTAATGGTGGACACCTGCCAAGCCTCTACCCTGTTCTCACAGGTTGTTATGCTACTATCTGTTGGTATATGTTATTAGAAAACTCACATGTCAATCCGCATGAGTTGACACAGCATAAATCTGGTGTATTCATTTTCATAGAATGAACACTACCATTCTTAGAATTGGTTTGTCTGAGTTTTAATGCAACCAACGAGTTTTACATTGATGTTTTTTATTGATTGATGTCATATGGAGTTGTTATACAATTTATTTGGGGCTATAAGCAAGTCTATTTCAAATATTTACCTTCTGCGTAAGTGATGGTTACTTTGCTCTTAGTCATGAGCATACCTATAGCAATTAGATAGTCGCAGCAAAAAGAGGTTTGTAAATATCCTATACCACATGTTATGGTTTTGGCTTTATCTTAGCTATAATTATATACTTGTAGAACTCATTATATGCCAAATTTTCCTGAGTCACCAGTCACCAGCGATGTTTCATAATTGTTCTTCTGAAATTTATAATTGCTTACAGTGCGATAACAAAGTGTTTTTTTGTCTTGCTGGTTATTCTTCTCTAAACTTTGTTGCTTATGGAGCTCTCCTTTTCTTATCTTGACAGTTTCATTCACCAGGGGTTTTGGCAATTGGAAGTAGCATGAAAGGACAGAACTCATATTCGCATCACTTGGACTCAGATGTATGTAAGAATATAATAGTTATTGTGGTGGTTACAGAAATATAGTGAGAGATTAAGTAAAGTTATAGGTTAGATGTAAAAGGGAGAGAAATAATAAGTTTGCATATTATTGATAATTGTTGGATAGTAACTTAGTGTTTTATAATACTCTAACGCTCCCCTCAAGCTAAAGCTTATTAAACTTCAGGTTGTTTACACATATACCCTTAAAAAGAGAAAACACAACAACTGGGGCAATGACCTGAGGTATATGATTCAAAGAAATCTTCTTCTAGCGACCCCAAAAAAATTGAGAACCCTAATTTGGGAACAAATAAATGCCAAAATAGACAAGCTTAACCATTAAGTAAAAGAAAGCATGCTTTACAATATGAAAATAAGAAAAACCTAACTGCAACGGTATTAGGCTCACTCGGTTTGGTGAAACCCAAACTTGAAGGAACTTCAAAGGAAAATGATACAAGGCTCACTCCAGCAACTGAAACCTTAATTGGGAGCATCACAATCAAAATAAACCTAAACAATATTGAGAAAATGATAAAAGGCTCTATATTTATAGATACAGATAACTGGATCAGTTTCTTACTTACAAAACTCATTCTAACAGAATGTCACTGCTGCAACAGTATACTGATACTACACAATACTCTATCAGTCCTCCACAAACTCAGGGCAGTGAGAGTTCTGGGAGCTCCTGTGCCCAGTTTGTTTGGTTCTAAAATTCGGAAAATGAGTCTTGGACAGAGGTTTAGTTAGTTTATCAGCAACTTGCTCTTGGAAAGGCACTTAAGTAACAACCGGGGATTTGTTCAGAACTTTTAACTTACAAAAAGATGTCCAACTACTTGTGTTCGGTCCTTGGGGGGATTAGGTATTGAAACCTGCCGCTTTCATAAAGAGACTGAACCCAAATTTTCTCTGAGGCAGCAAGTATGTACTCGGTTTCAGAAATTGATACTGCAACCTGAGTTTGCCTTCTCTGGACCACCAAGATATTAAATTCGGCCTGAAGGAAATACCAGCACCAGATGTTGACCTCCTATCATCAGCTTCAGAGGCCCAGTCAGCTTTACAAAAGGCCTTTAGCATATGGGAGAAGCATTAAAGACAGGGTTGCGGAATGTGGCCAAAATCAGGTGTACCTTTGAGGTATTTCAAGATCCTTTTAACATAAGCCCAATGAGACTCCAAATGTTGTGCTGTAAATTGGCACACCTTGTTCATAGGATAACCAATTTCTGGTCTGGAGACTGACATACTTCAGAGCAGGATACAATTGACTGGTATATGGCAGGATCTTCAACATGATCAGACCCACATTTAAAAAGTTTGAGTTTCCCTGGAAGAGGTGTAGAAATATCTCTTGCAGTGGCAGGGTCATTTCAGCCTTCCAAAGCAAGTCTCTTGCATATTTGGATTGAGACAGAATCGTACACCCAGAGGAGGTGTACTTTACTTAAATTACATGAAAGTAATCCAAATCTCCCAACTGTTTAAGAGCAAACACTTGGAAATCAATGTTTGTACTAGATGTGGGGAGCTTCCTTTGGGATAATATCTTCGTCAACATAAATTTAAATATAGATTCAACATCCATCTCTGTTATGCACCAGTAACGAGGGATCATATTTACTCTGCGGAAAAAGTTGATAAAGATTTCTGTCATGACATGTATGCTCCAGATTGAGAAGTGTTACGCAATGTTACTATTCCTTAGCTATACATCATCCCTGATTCATTCTAACTAGGATTAGAATTAAATAATATGAACAACTAAACTTGTCTTTAGAGGTCTCTCTCATGTTCTCTCCGTCCCAAATAATGGTATGAACAACTAAAATTGTTTTTTGTATATAATGCAGGTGGGTGTCTCAGTTGTTGATCGTTTTACCTTCTACACTCTTGCCTTCTTTGAGAGGCTGAATATATATGACAATGCTTCATTGAGCAGGTACATGTAAAATATTTATAAGCTGCTTCAAGTTTAATATTTTATCCTTATTATTAAGTGTCTATAAAGTATGTTCCTCTTTTTGCATGTTCTTTTGATTGAATTTTACTTTCCAAATAATTCTTGCAGTATGTTTCTTTAGCTTGTAACAGGTCTATCATTTGTTCATATTTTCTATCCTTCACATATGCACAAAACCATTACTCGCACTTATTTATTAAGAAAGTTTATAATCAAGAGCAGCTGAAGTACACAGTAATAGTTTTGATGGAGCATCATACTCTTTTGAAGGCTTGATTGTTTAGTGTTGCACTTTTGTCCTTTCTTGCAGTCTTTTCAACTCATACAACCCAAATTTGTTGATGTCAACTGCATATTACCGAATGGACCTGTATCAACGACAGTTAGAGAAGGTAATAAAGTTATGCACATTCTGAAAATCTTTTGCTTTTTTTTTTTGTTGAAAATTTAGGCTTTAACTCTCCTCCCTTTTTATTCAAAACACTATTTTCTTTAGCTATGGTTCAACCCAATCTGTTTCCCTAACCCTTTTTTAAAAGATTGTGTAAAGAAGTAGAATTCAGAATTTGTCATTGCTCCCCAATGGATTCAACTATTTTACATGGAATTTGGATTCAACTATTTTATCATATGCTATGTTTTGGTGCCATGTCAAGATTAATATATGATGCACACATATTGATTGATATTAATATTGATGTATTTCAATGACAAACCGGATGGTTAATATAATTATTGATTGATGTAATATCTGCAGCTTGGATGCTTTGTTTGACTAAATTGACGTGTTCTTGTTCCATCACTTCTTTTTAGGTACATGTGACAAACTTTTTTGGTTCTGTAATGAAAACAATACGCACCGATTCAGCCTACAGGTCTCAGTCGAATAAAAAAATTGGCGGAGCGAAAATTAAAATGTCTTTGGATCAATCAACCTCAGACAATAGCAGAAGAATTTTGAGAAACTCTGATGATGAGGACCAATTTAATAAATTAGGCACAAAGGTGAATTGAACATATTCCGCAACAGAATTAGTTTACACAGTTTCATCTAAAGCTGTAACTCATGGAGACTGGATTTACTATGCAGGAACACTTCCTTGGTGTTGGACAACTGTGGAATACTATTCTCAACCAATTGAATACTTTTGAAAGCACTGATACTTTTGTTTGCTATGGCCTTGTTTCAATGCTTCCTCTGTTGATAGTTTCTACGTGGCTATCATGATAGATGACTACAGCAATACTCTTTGAAGCCACATGTTATGGTTGCTTGCAATGCAAGAGAGCGGCTTATAGAACTTCATTCTGTTAGCCTTGCTTTTTCCATGGTGGTGGAGTAGTGTTCCACAGTTATGGTAACACAGATCCTTGATGGGTCATTGAATGGCAGAGGCAATTCTTAAAATTGTTCTAATTCTTGAAGTCTTTCAAAAGCCAATTAAATATGTTAAGTGAGTGAGTTTTCAAATATCTACTGTATTCCCATAGTAAAGGGACAATCATTCTCTTCGCCAAATTTTGGCGATTACGTTGGCAGTACCTAAAACTATAGAATACTAAATTGAATGTATAATTTGTGATACCAAATTGACTATCTACAAACTTGCGAACTACTAGAAAAAAGGTTCCTGGAACCTGAGGCTGAAAGTAATTATTTCTTTGTTTCATAGATGGGAAAGAAAAAAAATCTATGCGAATAAAAAATGACTAACTATAATTATTCACTTTCATATTATATTAATATATTATTTTATATTTTTAAAATTTAAAATTATATATAAAATAAAATTTAAGGATATTTCTAAAAACCTCAGTTATTTATCAAATAAATTGCTGGAAATAAAACTCTTGCATTAACATTTTCCGGAGATTGTAATTTTAATATGTCAAACAAGCACCCCTTTCAGATATGTTTGTTTTACTTCTTTTAAAAAATGATTTTAATGATTTTTATAGCATTATATATTTCTGTTTACAAAAAATTTATAACATAATTTTTTAAACAAAAATTTAATAAAAAATTAATTTAGATAGTTATTTTAAAAATATTAATTTAGACATTTCATCATTTTTCTAATAACTGTTTTTTGGATATTAAGTTTTCCAAAAAATCATTTATGTTTAAAATTATTTTAAATAGTTTTTAATAAAAATCATTTTTGACATAAATCTTTTTAAAAAAATTATGATTTTGATTAATATTTTTATTTTGATAAATATATATTTACGTTACAAGTTGTAAAATTTTATAAAAAAACAAAATTTAATTCTTTTTTAAAAATTTTGAAAAAAATTTCATAAAATTTATTTCTAAAAATATATATAATATATTATTTTAAAGTTAAACAAACGGATCCTTTAAAAAAATTTATTCAATATTAATTTGATGTAAAAATAAGGTTGATCGTAAGGTTTAAGTGTGATGAGTTTAATCAATGATCACACTTTAGGGGCAAATCCTCGTCGGTTATTTGAACTCTTACATACTCTCTCCGTAATGATTTATAAATAAATTTGATTTTTTAGTATATTTGATAATTAATATATTTAATCTATATATAAATCAGATATATTAATTATCAAATGTATTAAAAAAAAATCAAATTTACTTATAAATCGTTACGAAGATAATACTCTAATATGTTGTTATCTTTATTAGAATAATAAAGATAGACTTTACACGTGTGGTTAAAATATGCATATCTGTCTTTTAGAGTCAGACTAGTTTTTTGATGTGAAAAATGAGATAATTCTTATATACCAAAAATATTTATATAAAAAAGAAATGGAATTTTCAAATAATCAATTATAATTTTTTTATTAATTAAAAATAAAAAATAAGTTTTTCTCTCCTTCATTATCACTACCACCATCTCATAATTTCAATTAAAAAAAATAAATTTAAAATAAAATATTTATTTTTTCTCTTTATATGTGTTTCTATAATCGAGTCTGCACAAGACTGATGAAAAACTTGAACGCAAGGAAGTGTCTGGAATATGGAAGAAGATGTATGATTTTTGAGTGAATATTTTCGAATTTAGAATCATGTATTTATAGACTATGCATGTGTTGTTTCATAAGCTTACAACTCTTGATGAAATAACATTTTTTCAGCATACGTTGCAATGGTTCACCTATAATAATACAATGCAACACTTCATGAAGTATTGCATATTTTGAATTTGAAATTCAAATAGTAGACAACGACAAAATTTTTAGAGCAATAATTAAAATTAATTTACAGTATTGCTTGCGTCGTGCCTAAGTGTCGCCACTGACGTCTTTATTCCCTCGGAGTCCGTGGCGACACCGACAAGAGCTTTTTGGATGTGACAAGTGGCATAATGTTTGAGACCACCACATATGTTCATGTGACACCTTATCTTCTTTGACTCGTTTAGTGAGTTTAATGTTTCAAGGTCTTTATAAATGCTTTTAAAGTTTGCTCCACTTTCTATGTGAGACTATTTACAATGCGTTTACCGTCATTAACTCAATTGTCCATTTTTGTCATATTCGAACAACACTCATGGCAATTATTGTTTATAATTTCCAACATAGACGGCTGAATTGAAGAGTGCCTATTTGCTATCTTCAATGTATTATAGGGATGTCAATTTGCATTCGTTAACGGAAACTCCTGTGTGGATTATCTGTTTGGAGCATCGAATTTGGGGATTTTCCCCCCGCAGGAACGAGGATGGAAAAAGTTCTCCCAATGACACTTTGGACCGTAGACTGAGAAAATATCCTACATCCCGTGGATTCCCCGACCCCGAGCATATTATTTAACTTTTATATTTTATATATTATATAATCTAAAATAATATAATTTTACATAAAAAGTATTGATGTATTAGAAACTAAAGAGTCATTAGTGAATCATTTTATTTTTATGTTTTATTGTATTTATTTCACTATCCAAGTATCTAATCCAAAAAAGTGTACGAAATACATAAAATATACACACCGTCTCCTTCTTTTCTTTTCTCAATTATCTTTGTCTCCTATATTCCCATCCTCATCACAACAAACATTCTCTTTTGTTCATTGTACTTATGGCAATCACTCTTCAAATTCACTTTAATAACATATTTTTTATTCAATTAATAGATTAGGAGTTATGGATTTGTCAATCTCTCACATAATCAACCACATGCGCCGGATGACAACCATATTGTGGTAGTAAATTAGCGGAAACATGATAGTAACCAGTTATGTTAATATTTTTTAAATCTTTTTAAGAAAAATATTAGCAACAATAAGTATTTTTTCTATTTTTTTGTTATTGATGCAAGATGCATTTTTATTTAGTTTTTTTTATAAAAAAAAAACAAAATACTAGTGTTATAGTTTTGATTGAAAAATATAATTTTTTTTAGTTTAAATGCACTTTTTGTTACCCTCAGTCGATTTCCCTAACTTTTTAGTTCCCAATAAAAAAATGACATAACATCTCAAATATCAAATAGCGTGAATCTTTTATAGTCTCTTATCATTTATCAACTATTTTAATGACACGACATCTCAAAAGTTGACCAATATTTATCACATCATTAAAATCTATTGAGTATTCATTTTTAATTTATATTTTAATATTTTATTTTTCAGAAACATTTAAATTAATATATAAAAATAAATAAATGATTTCTCAACTCGAACAAAAAAGTATTAACAATATTCTCAATTTAAGCTACTGTCATAAAGTAGCTTATTGAATAAGAACTTATTTAAACTACTGTCATGAAGTAGCTTCTTAAATAAGCACTTATTTAAATTAAAACCCCAACTTGACATAGGACAAAAAAGAGCTTTTTTTTCTTAAACTCCCAAAATCCCAAATCAATCTACATGAATGAAATAGTGAAGGATTAGTATAGGAAACCAAAAAATCAATTTTAATCACACGAATTGCACCTTGTTTCTTCCCTCCAATCTCTAACAAATTGTTCCTTCTCAATTACACATCTTTCCCTTTCTTTTCACTCTAAATTTTTTCATCATATCTCTTATAAAAGCACCTCAAAACCGTGATATTAGGGGAGGAAGAACTACCCAATAAGACTGCCAAAATCAAGTCCATATAATCTTCCTCCAACCATTACTCAAAATTCTCACCAAACCTATTCACTTCCTCCAACCATTACTCTATTTAATCGTTTTTTTCTTTCCTGTTTGATGAGAGAGAGAATCGGAGTGAGAGAAAAATATGTTAAATGTAATTCATATGTGTCAAAATTAGATTTGATTTGTTTTAGATTTAAATAGATTTGAATTTAAATCTAGAATAGATTTGATTAGATTTGATTTAGTAAAAAGATATTTTGGGCTTGGGTTTTAGCTTAGGGAGCAAGCTAACATAAATCTATAAATAGAGGGAGTAACCCCTATTTTTGTAATCAAGTCATTCACAGTATTTTGCAGTTGCAAAGTGAATAATAAAATTTCCACTGTTTGTGGGCAGAGAGAAACTCTGCAGAAATATCTCTATTGTCTTTTCTTTGTTTGTCTCATAACTAATCATCAGTGGTAGTCGAAATTCATCATAGAGTATTGGTGGATTTCCAACATCTGGTATCAGAGCTTGATTTCGATTCAAGAGAAGTATCAATCAAGAACGATTGAAGAATTCACGATGACAAGTTATGGGAATGCAAACTATCCAGCAACGCTACCAATTCTGAAAGTTGACAACTATGAGAATTGGTGCAAACAGATGAAAGTCTTACTCAGGTGTCAAGGTCTTTGGGACCTTGTAAAAGATGGAGTCGAAGCGCTTGGCGAAAACGCTTCAGAAGAAGAAAAAAAGAAATACACAGAATCTGAGAGGCTGAGTTATAAAGCATTATTTATAATTCATCAATGTGTCAGCCCAGACAATTTCGAAAAGATTAGTGATTCAGAATCTGTAAAAGAAGCTTGGGAGATCCTTGAGAAGTCTTTTGGAGGCGCTGAGAAGGTGAAAGAAGTGAGGTTACAAACTCACAAAAGGACCTATGAATTGGTTCAGATGGAAGACAGTGAAAAGATATCCGATTTCTTCACTAGAGTTACAAAACTAGTGAATCAAATCAAGGCATGTGGAGAAACATTAACAACAAGAGTTGTTGTTTTGAAGATCTTGAGATCTTTAGCTCCTAAGTTCGACCACATAGTGGTGGCGATCGAAGAGGGGAAAGACTTGTCGAAATTGACAAAGGAAGAGCTTCAAGGGACGCTTGA